GAGCCAATATTGCTAGCGGATTCCTGTCGGCCTTCGGCTGTAGGCTGAGCTGATGCTAGCGTCAGGGTTTTAGGTATGGTTCAGTTCGCGTGTGTATCTGACGGAACGGCACGTGTTGGTCCACGTGACCGATTGGGTCTTCCCGGTACAACAAGTTTTATATTATGTGAACATGTATTATATTTTAATTGAGTATTATTTAAAATAGTTAAAATAACTGACAGTAAATAATTGTAAGAAATAACGATATACAAGCCTCTTTCTCAAACATTTTATGACGTCTGGGAAATTTTGTTTACAAAACTTGCTGAAAATACCAAATGAAACACGCTTTGCTATGATTGGCAGTAGCACACTCCCAAATCCCAATAAAAAAGTACCAAATGAAAATACCAAAGGGATATTATATGTGCATTTATGGAAGCCAACAGTGTGTGTCCACGTTCTCTCCAAGTTAGCCTTTTGGATAGAATAGGGTGAAGAGGGTGAGAGGAAAATGGATGGTTAAGCCATTAGGGCAATGGTTGACCAAAACAATAATGCTACTTTTCGAAAAGAAAAATGATGCCTATGATAGCACGCAGTTATGCAGCTTTCATGAGCTTCTCATGTGTAAAATGGTAACCTAACATTCCTATTTTTCTCAACTTGTTTAATTAAGGTACACATTATGTTAAAAGACTTACAATTCTGAATTAGTTACTATTTTTAATAATGGATATTTTATAGTAAAAATATAGTTATAAAAAAATATAAAGATAAGAAAGATTAAATATTATATAAAATCCTACTATGTACTATATCACATTTTATATTGAGTGGTTATATTCTCAAATTGTATAATTCACATAAACTTTAACTATTTAGTCAATGAGTAGTGTCACCTTCGTTTAAAAAAATGAGAATGTTCAATCTAAACTCTTAGGAGATGTTTCGTATAAAGATTATTTTTACTTTTCCAAAAATCTGAAGTTGAGAAAGAAAGTGCGCGTGTGTGAATTATGTAAAAATGAAAATATACAATCTCAAAATTTAGGAGATGTTTAGTACAAGGATTATTTTTACTTTTTAAAAAATCTAAAGTTGAAAAAGAAAGATAATTTCTCACGTTTGGTTTACTAATTAAAAAAATGACACTCTCAACAAACATTATTTCTTGGAAATGATTTTTACCTGTGTCTTACAAAATTGTTCCCCTATTTTTTTAAAAATGTATCAAAATTACTTTAAATAAATTTCTTGACCCCCTTAAAATTTATATAAAAAAATATATTATAGGTTGATAGAAGAAAATTATCATGTTAGTTTACAATTATGAAAAAGAAAAGGAAAGAATTATATGTAAAATTAATATATAATGTGCTAGAAAGAGAGATAAAAGAAGTATTAATGATAATGAATTATTTATGATGTTAGAATATTTACATATAAGTGTTAAAAAAATTATCCTCCCTTAAAATAAAGTTTTGGCTCCGCCTTCAGGCCATTACAATTGCAATTGCTAGCACCACCATCACCATATTGCCACTACTGTCCCCCACTCCCTCCCCCCACCACCACATTGACACTGTGGCCATCATAAAGGAGGAGGAGGAGAAAAATAAAATTATATGAGATAAAGAAGATAAGAGAGAGAGGGAGGGAGAACCAAGAAAGATGAGAGAGAAGATTGAAGAGAGGAAAAAAGAGATAGAGAAATTGTTGCGGGTTGCATCAATTGTTCTGTGACGGAGGCTAGGTGGGCCAAGTCACTGTCGAATCAAATCATGGCGCTTGGGCTGCTGCGCTCTTAAGTAAAAGGAGTTGCGTCCTGACTATCAGCTATAGTTTTTGACCTAGTGGTAAGCGCTCGATCCAACAATTGGTCATAAAAAAATAATAAAAAAGTTATACGAAATCTTAAAGGTTTTGTTGAAGTTGTTGGATAATTGAATTATAAATAAATTTTATTAAAAAGTTTCACAAAATCTATCATTTAAATTAATCTATTGAAATCTCTATATTTTTTTTAATACTAACAGAATTTTTTAAATGAAAAAAGTTTTAATCGAATACCATAAAATTTTGAAGTACTCCTAAAAAATCATATTATCTTAATTGAATATCACCAAATTTTGATATGCTCTTAAAAAATTTGTTTGTCTTAATTCAATATTACATGACTTTTTTATATTAAAAAAAAAGTTTTGATTAAATATTATAATACCTTTTTTATGATAAAAAAAAAGTCTTTTAAAATTCTTTGAAATTCTAATTATCCAATAGATCTCTCATAATTGAATACCATCAAATTTTTTACATTCTTATACTAAAATCTTGATTGTCATAATTGAACATTACTATATTTTGACATATTCTTAAAATAATCTAGATTTTCTTAATTGAATATACATTACTATTTTTATGTTGAAAAAAAAAATCTTTATTGAATGCTACAAGATTTTTTTATAATAAAAAAATCTTTTAAAATATTAATCCAATACATGTTTAAATTGATTCGAATGAAAAATTATTATAAATTTGGACATTAATTGTATTACCTTAATACTATATTTGTTCCTATATATAAGACTCAAATACCTAATTCACTAGGATTAAGAAAAGTAATTAATCTAATTGATAATGATAAATTTGCCTTATTTTTATATTTTTTTTCCCAAAACTACCATTATACTACTTTTTTGTCTTCATTAATACCCACTTCTCTCTTAGCCAATTAAAATGCATGTCATTTAGTACTTCTCCCTCATAATTAATTTCATATACTCTTCAAACCAATTAGAATACATATCTTTTAAAGAATTTATAATTAATGCATTCTATTAAATTAAGAGAACATGTTTTAATTAAAAGTGTTTTAGTCTAAAAATAATAAATATTTATATACCAAACATTATGAATTGAGTCTTATATAAAGAAAAAAAATAATTTTTTTAAATTGAATTTTATAAATAAAAACATATATAATGAATGGATATTGTAGCCGTAGTATTTAGCTAAATTGTTGTATAAATTGCTCGCAAAAACATTCATTTCATTACATATCATTAAGGTAATCACATTTAGAATTAGTCACCATACATTGAATTTGCAATGGAACATTTTTTTTTTTTAAGTTAGTTGCGTTAGAAAGGATATCAATATCTTAACCTCAAAAAGAAATATCTCATTTATTATTAGTATTATTAGTATAGATAAATTTGAGTTTGTTTAATTAAATCTCGCTCTTTAACATGCATATTACTCATTTCAACCCTTAATCTACTCTATTTCTCTTGTACTTTTATCTTTCATATTTCTTTCCTTTTTATTTTAGTTTTAATCCAAATAACCACCACCTACGTTTACAAAATCTCAAAATGGAGGGAAGGGAAGTCCACTTAGCATTACTGCAAGATTAATTTCTCCATTTTTTTTCCATCATGCATTTGCATATATACTTTAATTCCTAAATGGTTCGGTTGAAAGTCAAATCTGCTTGTGTACAAGACAGACTACAAAAGCAGCAGGGAACTTAATTTAACCTCAGATTAAATCCCTCTCATCTATGGCGATCTGCAAAAAATAATAAAGTAATTACAGTTGAATGAGTTCTGCATAAATAGAACATGAGGCCCTACCCTAACCCTTCATAAGAATCCAACTCCAGAACTGAGTGGGTAAAAAGATACCAGAGGCTGGTTATACTCTTACATAGTTTCAGTGTTGGAACAAAGAAACAAATTAAAAATAAAACAGCACACAACACTTACAATTTGAATTCACTGTAATTACACAAGCTTTGTTGAAAGACAGTGATCTAGCCTTCGCGGCTTCAAAAATGAAGAATCTTACGATCCCTTTTGCAGAACATAAAGATTTCAGAAATATATGCCGCAAACTGGTCCCCCTTACATAACTAATCCATAAATTAAAAAAAAAAAAAAAAAATCCTCACGTGTGTTAAAATAATAGAAGCGTGATCAAATGAAATTAAAACCAAAAGCGCACGCTCATTAATACTATACATTCATACATATGTTTAGCTTCACTACTGTTTTAGTTGAGTAAATAGACTCCATTATTTTGAGAGAGATTCATTTATTTCAAAAACAAAAACAAGTATTCATATATTTACTCACTCAACAACTCACTCTCAATTTCAATAATCCAATCATTAAATTAAAAATTTTAATCTATAAAATGTCTACAAATTTTTTAAAAATTTAAAAATGATTTAATATTTCATTTCATTAATTTAAATTGAAAGATATTAAAAAAATTACCTTATACATTAATTTGAATCTAAATAATGAAGTATTCAAACTTTGCAAAATCTTATAAACTTGATCTATATTAATAACTTCTAACTAAAAAATTAAATCATTAAAATTCAATGTAGAATGAGTTATTGAGAAAACTAAATCTACCAAAACTTACTCTTTCATCAAGTGAATCCCCCATATATATGTATTAACAATACAGATAATAATTACAAATCCCAAGTTTTATCCATTGACAAAAGTAAAATTTTTATCAATACATATAACAGCTAAATAAAGAAAATAAAAAAGTCCTTTGTTTAAACATTGCATTGTTATTGGTTCTTAAATAATCTGACAATGAATTGGTTTTTGTCTGACTACGCTAGTAATCCAGTAAACAATGCAACTGACCACATCTATCTTTCTATTAATTTGATTGTGATTGAAAAGTCAAGTTTCCATACTAATTCAATATAACAAAACTCAGGGTCATAGGGTGTTGAAGGAAGCTCGTTAAAATTATAATAGGAAGCCTAACAACCCTCATAATAGTTAACCCGATCATCATTTAATGGTGGGAGTTATTCAGGAGAACCTCAAATGCAGTTGAAGGGGTCTCACCAAATTTCCTTAGGGCATCATTCAGCCCAAATGAGCACAGAAAGGAGGCCAATTTCGTATTGCAGTTTAGATGGAAAGTAGCCCTCCGGCAAAGTTTGTTTTCTATGATTAAAACCACTAACGAGACAGAGAGACAGGGAAGACAGGTTTCAGCAAGAGATAGAAAAAATCTCCAGAACCTCGGGTTTTTTATATCCCAATTATTTGTACTCGTTAAAATTGTAAACCGACTTTCATTTTCCAGTATTAAAATGCCAATATTATTTAAGTTGAATAGGACAACAAAAGGAGTCTTCTCCAACTAAAAAGACTTAATGACCCCAGACCTTCTTTCCTTCCCTCAGGTGGAAAGAAGATTAGCATATTTCTCTATAGTCATCTCAAGCCAAAACAAGAGGATAACAGAATGTGTTTAAACAGACGCACACACTAACATACGGGTCTCTTGTATTCAATTCATGGCATTATACAACAAAATACACAACTTTCCCATATCCGTATCACAGCTCATCATACAACAGAATCTAAGAAAGTATGAGAAAAAAATGGAGCCTAAAAACTAATAAGCTAAAAAAGAACAGTCCTAACTATTCTAAAACAAGACAACAGAAAGGTAAGGCCACATAAACAGAAATCGCCATGAGAAAATCCTAGTAAATTTATACTGAAACAGAATTTATAAGTAGCAAACCTTCAGTATTCTACACATCTTCAATCCAAGTCTAGTTCCAGTATCCTCTAACCAAACCTTTAAGCTGTTAAGAATTAAACATTACTTCTTTGACTGCTTTAGGTGAATTTTTGTGGTTTTTGAACATATTAGTAGAGCTTCAAATAATATACATTACACCTCGAACTTCTAGGTATTGCATAACTTAATCAAGTAATATTCCAGGCCCTGGCCCAAGTTACATCCGATGTAGCATCCCAATCACTTTGTACCCCCAACCTATTCACTACAATAAAAATCCTACAGAAAGAGAGGCAACCTAGCAATCTTCAATGTAAAATGAACATTTTTGTAAAGTTCCATTTGATTGATGGTTCACAATGTTTCACAAACCCGTCCAATAAATATCATGAACAATTAAAACAGTAAGGAACAACCTTAGATGTCCCCGTCATTAGATATTCATACTCTAGATCAACAGCGATTTTACTCTCAGTCCATACTAATGTTACATTAGAAAGCAAAAAATAATGAGATCTCCTCAAGGATACCCAAATTAGTAATAACTTAGTATCATAAGAAACCAAATCAGTCAAATAGATCATTTTCTCCATAACCATGACATTATCCATGAACATCATGCCAAATGAAAGTCAACCTTTCACTGTATTTAGTCCCTAGTCTCATCTTCCAGTAAATTCAATAAACATAAAGTATGCCATAAAAAGGCTACTTCTGTGTGGAGATCAATAAATATTTCAAGGGTCCCAGCCAATCAAAAGAACTCCAAAATATGGTAAAGCTTTCAGTTCAGATCAAAATTGGCTCCTAATAATGAAAGTGAAAATGTAACCGAACTCTCCAAAGTCATCATAGAATCACAAGAGCCTCAATATGCATATTCAAATATCAAACCTTGCCTATCACTTCATAAAAAGATAAATCCATCACCACAAAGATTTTTACGTCCAATAGTCCTTTAAACTTTCCAATCATCAGAGTTATATTTGCTGAGTCAAATATTATATTGTACATTCAACAAAGCATCCTCAAAACACTAAGTCCCTGATCTCATCATACCTAAGTTGTTAAAGAAAATCTAGCCCATTCCATAGAAATCTTATTAATACCCTACTCCAAGACCAGAGAGAACCTACCCAACAATCATTAAACAATTTAGTCTATCCCACCTATGACCAAATAGATATGGAAATATATAAACAAACCAGATGGAAGAGGATAAGAGAGAAGTGTATAGAAATAAATATGCAACTTCAGAATTGTATGCTCAAGCCACAAGCTTATACTTGGAAGATGTCTATCCAATAATTCCAGATCCACCTAAAAAGGAATAAAGGTCCACAAAACATTAGAAGAGAATTTCACTGCTGCCAAATTAGGATATAAAATTTTACAAAATAATCCTTACCAAAAGATTCATCACACTAATAATAGTATCCACGCCCATGTGAGCCTTGATAGCCTTCACCCCCATAATAAGATGAATAGGAACCTCTACCATACTGTAACATGAATAGCATAATTTGTAACTAATATTATAATTAAATTATATGAAAAATAAAATAGGTTATACAATGTTAACTCACATCAGAACCATAATAGTCAGGCGGGTACTGTCTGCTGCCAGGCCCAAAAGAATCTATAAATAAAAAATAAAATAGAAAGTAATCAAGAATATAACCATGCTATTGAATCAGAAAGGAGAAAAAATGAGTACAGGAACACGATGTACCATGTTGACGAGTTCCATGAAATATAGGCGGATCTGCATAATCCAATCGGGGACGAAGTCTATTAGGCCCCATGTAATCAGGTTCAGGGTCCTACAAGAGAGGAATGCAATCAATTTAAACAAATTAGTATTTTCCAGTTGTAAATAGAATTTAACATAACATTTGTGTGGAACTACAACCCACACATATAAGCGAAATTAAAATAAAATAAAATCTTACAGTCATATAAAATGGACGTTTCATTCCATGCATATTGTCATCATATAGATATGGATCATCAAAATGCCTTCCCATAAAAGGCATGTCAAACTGTCCACCTGGGGAGTAGGGCCTCCTTGGAGGAATAGGCTCACTAGGGCCTCCATCAGGGATACCACCCCATGCTCTATCATGATAAGGTCTAGATGGACCAGCAAATGCAGCACCTCGGCTACCTGCATAATGTCCACCTCTCACAGCTCCTGCTTTACAATATAGTAAACTATTAAAAAAAATCATTCAAAAACCTTCACATCACTGCATTACATACCAAAATAAAATTGAACTAAAAATACAGCAAGAAGCTCAAAAAATTACCTTGTGGACCAAATTGCCTCTGATGGAAATCTGGATACATATTAAAATCACGGTCATCCCGAAAACCCACTCTTCCAATTTGGCTGTGTCCACCATGATAGAAACTCCTGCCCCTGTTGAAATTTCCCCTGTTGTTGAAGGGATGTCTTCCCCGTCCAAACCCCCTTCCTGTGGTAGGAAATGAGATTAGATAATCCAAATAATGGTGTCGACAAGATAATTTAAGTTCCAAGTGAATTGCCAGAGAAAAACTAATTTACCTGATCCTGATCTTGAAAAGGCTCCACTCCTAGCATGACCTATTCGGAAACCACCACACATACCACCTTTGACAGCCTGTGTTTTAGGCAAAGGATTTGAAAGTCTCGCCCTCACTTTTATCTGAAAAGCATGGCAAAATTTGAGTCTTATTCACCAAATGGACAAGAACTAGAATGTTAGATGAGAATATCAAGTATGTAGAATAAAAATTAAGCCCAAGATTCTCATAATGATACAGTCATGAAGATTCAAGATTAATTTTTTGAGAGAGATTAAGGAGAAATAGGGAAGGAGATCAATAAACATGGTCGGCAACCTAAAATCAACTCAGGATCATAGGACTTCACAATTATTGGTAGTAAATTGGGTTTAACTTGTTCTCAAACCCATCATTCTTTTCCTGGTAGAATTGGATAGACTTGGTCAGACTCAAACTCATAATTGTGAGTGGAGCAGAGAGTCAACTAGTATTTTTTTGCATTAATATCTACCCCAAATTGCCAAAAACAAATGTGTTTTGGCTGTCCTCCTTTGCCAAATGGTAAACAATGTCTCTAAACAACGTGATCCATGTAGTTATTAAGAGAGATTTCATGGTTAAACAATGTCTCTAATATTTGGTTTTTATTTGAGCCAAATAGTGTCATGTAGTTGATGTTGACCTTACTGAATGGGATAAGGCTTTTGTTGTTCGTAATGGGGGTCAATTATTTTCATGATGATTTTGTTTATGTTGATTCAATTTTGTATTTATAAACAATGTTGGGAACTTAGAGTTTTGTCAGCAGATTAAGCTTGGAAAATGCATTGTACATAATATTGTTATAGCTACATAACCACATTATGTACAAAATACCATTGCTTTGACTATTATTTCACACCATTAGGCTTTCTAATGCTTTGTTTAAATTAGGAGTAAAATAAACAGGAAAGAAATACTAAAGAAAAAAAATGACAGAAATAGAGGAGAAATGGAATGGAAAAGTAATGTTTTTAGCATGGATAAAAATAGGATGAAAGTAGAGGAATTTCTCTACGCTTGATTGGTTGAATGGAAAACTGGAAAAAATAAATGAGTTATATAAATATAAACACATATATATATAATAATTAAAAATGTAGTTTGGGGCAAAATATTTTTGGTGGGTTCCACAAAAATAACTTCCCTCCTTCATATTTTTCCTCTCAAACAAATGGAAATTTAGCATTTATATCCTATCTCCCTCATTCCTATTTTCTTCCACTCCAATTCTCCCCAAACAAACAAGGAGCTAAATGTCATTATTGTATCATGTAAACTTGTACTAGTTTACAAGTTGAATCTACATATGTTGCAAGAGTATATAAGCACATGTTTGGTTGAGATTATTTCTTTGATTATTCAAAAACTGTGAATAAAATGATTATTTCTCCAAAATAAAATGAACCAAAACGCACAGACTCAAGTTTGACTATCTTCTTTAAAAGGCAATTTCTTTCCAAATCATTGAAATTTAACGATAATGCTGTTGAAGTTGATAGAACATAGAATTCACTCTTCCCTACATTGCTGAAAACAGGAAGAAAGGATAGCAAAGGAAACAAAAGAGAATAATTCTGTAAGAATGTAAAATCATGGTCCAGTAACAAATAGGATTATATACCTTCGATGCTCCATCACCCAATTCTGATTTATTTACACCATCAACACAAGCTACAGCAGCTTCATGTGTAGAAAAATCAACAAATCCATAATCCTTCCTCTTAGCTGTAGACATATTTCGTGCTAGCACAATTCTTACAATTTCACCGTAAGCTTTAAACAGCTCCCTCACAATGTCTTCATCCCAATGTGGAGGGAGACCGTTAATAAACACAGATTTCACCTGTGCCATTATCTCTGGGTCTGGTTCACGTATGGGTTCAGCAAAGGCTACCTTGGCAGTTCGCTCAGTATGGCCAAAGATTACGTCTGGCTTTTGAAGCCTCTTGTATGCAAGCATGGCATCTGCATGACAAGAGAACTCTAGGAATGCAAATCCCCGACTCAAGCCCTCTTGTTGAACATCTGGGACAAGTGTAATGCCTTCAACCGCTTCAATACCATAATCCTTCAGCTTCTGCTTAATCTGCCATCCATGTATTAAGAAATAAGTGAACCAGCCAGGGAAGTAAATACATGCCACAGAGAAAACTATTGTAAGTTTACCGCTTCTTTTGTCCAAGTATTGCAAATATTTCCCAAGAATAATGTGTCATTATCCTCGCTAGGTGCAGTGCCACACCGTTTACCATGTATCTGTATAGAATGGGAGGTAAAACCACGGCACACAAAAGAAAGATAAGAGTGTAAAGTCAAAGAAATAAACAATTGGGTAAAGAAACATACCACAGGGTTCTTCATTTCAGACAAAGCTTTCTTTGCATGCTCCTTATTAGCAAACTTCACAAAAGCATAGCCCTTGTTTTTATTTGTTGAAGAATTTTTATGCAACCTAACTTCAACTATCTCCCCAATCCTCTGAAAAACCTTTCTCAGATCTTCCTCTGTAGCATCTCGATCCAACCCACCAACAAAAATCTCATGTTCTTTTTTAATCTTCCGCTGATTTGCAATGGCCTCCAATTGTCTATGCTCCTCCTCCAATGCCTCAGTTTCTTCTGGAGGTTCCTCTGGATCTTCCTCCGGATCTTCTTCTGGATCTTCCTCCGGATCTTCTTCAGCAAGCTCCACCCTCCCTTGTTCTCCAAGATCTAACTTTTCACCACTCTGTGGTCCTTCACCACCATCTTTACTGGGATTAGCATCTTCATTTTGCATCTGGGCTTTCACTTCTACACCAAAAGACTCGGTGTTATCTTTCGGTCCAGAAAAGTTTGTTTCCTCTCCCTTTGCTTTCTCTTGGTCCTGCTCTTTCAACTTTCCCTTGCCTTTGTCTCCCTCCTGTTCTTTCAACTCAACCTTTCCTTTCTGTCCTTCCTGTTCTATCAACTCTACCTTACCTTTCTCTCCTTCCTGTTCTTTGGACTCTTCTTTACATTTCAATCCTTCCTGTTCTTTCAACTCTTCCTTACCTTTCTCTCCCTCCGGTTCTTTTAACTCCTCCTTTCCTTTGTCTCCTTCCGGTTCTTTCAACTCTTCCTTCCCTTTGTCTCCTTCTGGTTCTTTCAACTCTTCCTTCCCTCTGTCGCCTTCCTGCTCTTTCACCTCTTCCTTTCCTTTCTCTCCCTCCTTTTCACCAGTACAATCTTCATTATCCGCAGATATATTGAGGTCCATAATGGGCCGTCCCGGTTGCTTAAAAGAAGCAGAAGCATCCTGAGAAGCAGTTACCTCAACTTCCACCATGGCATTTCCCTTCACCAATTCACAAACCTTTTCATCAACAGGTTCATCCACTTCCATCGACTTCTGTTCGGTCTCATCAGATAATTCAACAGACCCAACACCTTGTTCTCCCTCTTTCTCACCCTCAACATTACCGGCATCAACTACTTCAACATCTTCCACTCTCTCTGCTGCTCCACCATTACCTTCAACCGGAGTTTCATCAGCTACTGCCTCACACTGTTCTTCCAAATTCGGAGTCTCAATTACTTTAGTTCTCGGCCTCCCTGGAGCCTTCCTTTTGGCAGATTTTGTACTGCTACCACTGCCTAACGATTTTTGCTCCACTGTTACATATTTTGAGATTAAAAAATAGCACTCGAAAAGAATCAACAGTTTCAAACACCAAAAAACCCAAAAAGAATACATAAATAAACAAAAATTGCAGCAGAATCATGAAGGAGAAACGAATTCCCCAGTCGCTACGTAAGGGTTTCGGTGTAAGCCTTAGTTTTTTCTTCATTTAATGTTCCAATCGAGACAGTTAGGTCTTCCTCTCGGACTAAAATTCGAAAAGGGGAAAAAAAGAAAACGCTTACGTGGAGATTGATCGGGGTTGGAATCAGGTGCGGGCGAGACCTCCTTCTTCTTGGTGCTCCTGGCTTTGGTGGCGGCGGTGCGCTTCGCCGCAGGGGATTTCCTCGGCGGCGGCGTCTTCTTAGGGGTTGCGGATTTGGAAGCGGAATCGGCGTTCCGAGTTCTCATGATTGATCAATCAATGATCGTTGATCTAACGAACGAGGATTAAACCTATCGCCTATATTTATATATGTAATCTGAACTGAAGTGAAGTTACCAGTTTCCAATGCTTCGAAAATGTTGGTTTTCTCTATGAATAGAGGGAGGGGAACACAACAGGATCCACGGTGCTCTTATAGTGCTGCCACTTTTAATTTTGCCTTGTAATTTTGGTTATTATAGGTCCGTCTACGTGTAATTTTAACTTTTATATATATATGGTAAGTCAGCAACATATTCGACCCTAAGATTTATATTTTGCTTCGAGTCTTATTAATCTTAGTAGTTAAGAAAAAGTAAACTATACTAATCAAACCAAATTAATCTTAGTATGTTCACTCGATAACCAAGATGGTTTCTAAACTATCTGACAACAGTTATTTTCATAGGAAAAGGGCAAAATGTGTATAAAAAAAGTAGAGGAACATAGTAAAAAAATTAGTTTGATTGTTATAATTTATTTATTTTTTAAAGGAAATTGAAAGAAAAAATAGATAATCTATTTGGGAGGACATGAAGAATTTATACTCGAACATGATTATTTTCTAATAAGAACATTTTAGTGTATACTGTGAAATTGAAGGTAACTTTTCTTTGACCATCTATGGTTTCACCCAGAAACCATACTCAAAGCATTGTAGGAGTAGTTGAGCAAGAAACATATACCATGGAAGACAATGCAACAACAAAATGTTGAAGTTGTGGAAGTGATGTGTTGTCAACATGAAGCCGACCTCCTATTACTACGCACATAAAATGACGCCATCAAAGCCCAATTGCAACATCAACAACCACAAAATGAGTCAAGTTATACACGTACTCGAGAGGAAGAACATCGTTCCCCCTTTCCCAACTCATACATAATAATTTGAACATGAAGTCAGTCATAGTCAATCTCAACGTATGCATGGTCATCCTATAGTTTGGAGACATTGTTTTAATGATGGAATAATGGAAGTTTCCCTTCCTTAAAGGTGGAAACCATTAAACATTGAACAATATAATGGCACATCAAATCCTAATGAGCATATGTTGACAAAGCTCAAAAGATGAAGCTTAGTTTTTGTTTTAATGATTATAAAGAGTGTCTCTCATATTTAAGAGAGTTGAAATTATATTGATATATGTTAATGCTTTGTTAGGCCTGTTTGTTTTATGCATGTGAGTAACTTAGTTATTTATTTCTTTTAGATGGTAATTGATGATGAAAAGAATTTTGAACTTGTTTTAAATTTGAGAATTTGAATATGTTACTCAAAATAATCGATTATCCATTTGTAATAATTAATTATTTACATTTTTTCTCATTCTAAGAAGCTCATCGTAATAATTAATTATTATTGTGAAATAATCAATTATTTTAGAGTCAACACTCTATAATAATCAATTATTCCAACAAATAATTGATTAAAATGTTCTTAACTGATTTCCAGATTTACCAAGAACAAAATAATTGATTATTAGATAATCAATTATTTTAGTCAGAAAGTTCTATAAATATTAGTTTTCGAACTTAGAGTAAAAACAACTGAAATATTTGTAACTTTGTGAAATCTCTTGAAAAAAAAACGTTTAAAAATTCTTTGTTTCCTCTACAAAAGAATCGTTTGATCATTTATGGATAATTTCAAGAAGGGGTTCAAGAATCATCATCATCCAACTAGAGAGAAAGGTTAAGCTACTCTGACTTTGATTGATTCTATATCCAATTGAATTCGTTCTAAAACTATATTTATTATTGTTCTTGAGTAGGTTTCTCAAGATTAAAGGTTTTGTAGTGGGTGATTTACAAGGGACATTTTTAGGGTTCAAAAAATGGGTTTATCATTTTAGGAGTTTATTGCATGTGTGTGATTGTAATACTCTTAATCTAAAGATAGTGAAAAATCTCAATAAGATTGATTGGGGACTGGATGTAGGTCACATTGATAGTGACTAAACCAATATAAATCATTATGTCATTTCTCTTTATCCCTCACTCTTTATTTGAGTTCTTGCTAACATTGATTGCATGTGTTAAATCTATTATATTTGAATGTTGCATATCATATATGTGACACCCTTACTATCCCAACACATATTGTAATAATGTAAATAAACTAAAGAAATAAATTTTTCAACATTGGTAAAAGGGTCCACATAAAAACCTTCATAAATGTTCTTTAATATCCAAAATAATTGAAAATAAAAGTTGGAAAATAAAACATAAGAGTTTACAAATTATTTTCAAAAGAATAAGTATAACTCCAAATGCATATAATAATCCATGTCCTAGAAATCTTCTGCCCTAATGTCATAATATCAGAGCACACCCACAATTCAACTGTTGGCATTCTAGATGTCACTCAAAGTTGGATATTCCTCACCTAAAACATCCACAAATTGTACGATGAGAAAAGAAAACATCTATATGTAAAGCACATACAAACACACCACAATGTAATCTCATCATAACTCATTACATAATGAAATATTTACAATCATTTCTACATATCATAATTCTATCAATCATGCATCATCTTTACATCACAATTCTCAATCACATCATTTCATCACATCATATAATTTGTACTATGTTAAGCTCACACCACCCCTATAGCATCTCGTGCCCAAGGTCGTGCCACGCCAACATAAGTACTAGTTGCCACACATAAATCTTGCAATTAACACTATGTCATGCTCACGCCACCTCTGTAACATCTATTGCCTAAGGTCGTGCCACGCTGACATACGTGATAATTGCCTCACACATTTCACACTATCATGATCGCGCCACCCCTGTAGCATCTCTTTCCCAAGGTCGTGCCACGCTGACATAAATGTGAGGAAGAGGAACCACAATCACATTTCATTCACAATCATCACAAATCTTGCAATTAACACTATGTCATGCTCACGCAACTCTTGTAGCATCTCTTGCCCAAGGTCATGCCACACCAACATACGTGGTAATTGCTTCACACATCCCACACTATGCCATGCTCACACCACCCATGTAGCGAGAAAGGCAGAGGCGCTTCACATCAACACCTACTCATACTATTCCTTCAATCTACCAACCACGATGCTCAAACTTAATAATTTCTCTTTCCAACTACCTAGTAAACCTTAACTGTTTTCCCTCTATACTTATGTTTTCACAAAATTCCTTCGCGAACCCCATTGTTGAAACATTACCCACAAATATGCATTTACTTGCCATCCTTAAGTACTTGAGCATATAAACATAAAAGGTGAAGGTACTTGAGCACTAAACACCCAACACGACAATCTTGTTGCATGTACTTGTTGGCAAACATATCTTCCTCAGGTGCATGAGGGAAGGTGTTAGCACTTCATGAAGCCATTACATGGCTCTCAAATCAGGATGTGAATAATATCGCCATAGAGTTGGTTATTAGCATCAACAATAACACTTGTGACCTCTACGAATTCGATACTATCATACCCCAGTGTCTCTAGAACATCTATTTCTTTTGTTAGTACCTTTATATATATATATATATATAGTTAATTATCTATACACTGTCAGTGTAAAGTTTTTTTACACTGATAACCAATTATATCTTTTAATTGTGTCATGTCACT